TTGAGTCTTTTGCAGATAGTTTTCCAATTTTGCCAACACTATTTTTTTAAAAGGATGTCATTTCCCCACTTGACTGATTTCATCTCCTTGTCAAAAATTAGTTGACCATAGATAGATGGCCTGATCTCCGGATTCTCAATTCTATTCCATTGATCTATGTGTCTGTCATTGTACCATGCTGTCTTTACCACTATGGCAGTGTAGTAGGGTGGGTTCAATATAATTTCAAGTGAAAAATAGATCTTTACAATAATTTAAATACTTATGTGTACAAAGAAAAATATCCTGCCCAAACCTGTACCTTCCTCACAGTCTGCTTTTTCTTCTAGTCACCGACTATGTCAATCCATCTTATTGAGGATCTTCTTTTTTTTCATCAGCCCTCTATTTTTCCAAGCATAATATCCTTCTCTAGGGACTGGCCAGACTCTCTTAATAACATGTCCTAATTATGTGAGGCGACGGCTCTTTATCCTTGCCAGTTTATCCTAATGCTTAATGAAGAAAATAATCTTAAATCAATGGATAAATCAACTACAAATATAAAATCTTAGCTTCTAAAACAGTATGTAATTTAATTTACAAATAATACAGAAACATTCATAGATGTGTCCTGCTATTGGTCATAGAATCAACAGTTAGACTAAATTGTAAAATATTATTTTATTACTTATCTTTTTGTCCTATAGAAAATAATTAAGCTGAAGAATATTGCCATTAATTTTGAATTACCTTAATACATTTTACATATATATTTTAGTGTTGAACAAACATTTTAAAAATGAAGGTGTAATTAATAAAAATTCTTTCTAAATATTCTCAGTATAATCTCTTAAAAGCTGATCAAAGATCTCACTCACTCGCTTTCACTGCCATTCCTTTAGAACCAGCTCAAAGCTGACCCTCTGTTGGGTTCCTGAGCCTATAAACTGCACTGGAGAGGACTGCTTATTTTTCTCCTGCCGAACTGCTATTACATTCAAACTACAAAAAAAATCACGGTCTTTGATTAAGGACAACCCCCTGCGAGCTATACCAAGAGATAGAGCTAATTGAATTATAAAAAAGCCTAGTGCTGTTTCCATAGGTGAAGACACAGTCAGCTTGCTATTCGAGCACTCTCGTTTTAAATAGTCACTAGTTCTGTAAGGGAGGAAGCTCACAGAATTGAAAATCCGGTGTATTTTAAATCCTCTTCATGTAAGAGAAAGCCATTTTATACTTTCAGTACTGATTCGTATTAATATCCCTCAATTTCTTTCTTCAATATATTTGATAGAAGTATAGGCTCTGTAAAACTGGAAAAGATCTTAAAAGAACATGATTCTCTTCCTTTAAAATATTCATCATGGTTGAAAAAAGTGACCAGAGTATTCCATTACAATGATGAAAAATATAAAATTACATAAAAGTAAATTTTGATTTGAAGACACTTCTCACTTTATATTTGGGAACATTTGTTTAATTATAAGAAAAATATATTCCTTTTGTATACATATGGCTTTGATTATATCTTGCTGAAAACATTTGAGAAAAATTATCAAATTCACCTGAAATAATACATGTGTGAAAAGAAGGAAAGTTTGAGAAGTTGGATTTGAATGAAGGCATGCCTTATATGACCAAGTTTTAAAAAAAAAAGTGCATGTGAAAGTTCACAAACTAAAATCCTGTGTTACTGGTGCAAAAGACAAGTCAATGAAAGAGAAGGAATGAGCCTATCTGAGAATATGCAAGAATTTGATCTATAATAAATGGAGATTTCAATTAGTAGTCAAAAGATTGCTGATTATTCAATAAATAGTTGTCAAAACAACTTATACCTAAGTTGATTTGAAATCTTTTAATTACTAAATATAAAATGAGACCAATACAGAAAATGTTTGTTTCCTTTTTGGAAGTCTTTTCTGATCTTTATAAAGAAGGCTGGTGGAACAACACGGAGGAATGACATATTTTTCGTTTATTTCTTTAAAAAAAAACAGGAAAAAGTAAAATGACAAATGAAGAGAAAATAATTCCAACAGTAGATTATATCTTAATATCTTTAATAAGTAAAAAATTCTTACAAATTAATAGTTAAAAGACAGTGAGAAAATAGAAATTGACCATGAGCAGGAAAAAAATAACTATAAATTGTCAATGACTATAAGAAAAATAATTGTATCACTAAATTAGGAAATACATAGTTAAAACTGGCAAATAGAAATATGTACAAAAGAAAAGAAAGATTACGTTTGCTGTCTGATTAAGTGTGAGAAAATTAATTATTCCCTCAACTATGAGTGAAAATATAAATGGTCTCAAATCTTATGAAGTTATATGAATGGTAAAGCCTTCAAAATATAAATACCTTTAAAGTTAGCAACTGATTCTTTTTCAATGTATGCAACCCAAGTAATCAAATTAATACCCAAATATGTAAGAAATACCCACATCTCAATGTAGTAAACTCAAAATAAAAAGAAGAAGCAAGCTAATTGTACTTCAAAAATTATTTTAATAAATTTGATATAACCAGTAATTGGGATGTTATGAATACAATAAAAACTTTTATGGAGAGCCCACATTCAGTTTTACTTAAATGTAAGTGTAAGAGTAAATCCTCACCATATTGTTAAATGAAAACAAATTTAAATAATGTTTCCTCTTTTAGTAAAAAGCGTGGAAAAACTAATGCATGTACATAAACATATGCAGAAAAGTATCTAGGAGTGTATAGAGAAAGTTATTGAACTTAATTCTCTGCCTATAAACTTCATCTGACATACTTTGGACATGTTGCCAGGAGGGACGGGTCCTTGGAGAGGGACATCCTGCTTGGGAGGGTGGAGGGACAGCGCAGGAGGGGAAGACCCTCTATGAGATGGATTGATTCGGTGACTGGGGTAATCGGGATGGGTGTGTCAGAAGCGGTGCGGTTGGCGCAGGATAGAGCAGGGTTTAGGGCTGTTGTGCATAGGGTCGCTATGAGTCAAAAACGACTCGACGGCACATAACAACAACAACAACATAAACATTTTAAGGCAAACAAAGTTTTACTATGAGCAACCTTCCACACAAGGATGGTGAAGTTCGTCTTACATACTTTGGGCATGTTACAAGGTGGAGAGTCAGTGAAAGAGAGGAAGACCCTCAATGAGATGGATTAACCTGGTGACTGCAACAATGTGCTGAAGTGTATCAGAGATTGTGAGTATGCCATAGGCTAGGACAGGATTCAGGTCCATTTTCCTAGGGTCCCTGTGAGTTGGATTCAACTTGATGGTATCTAACAACAGCAATGAACATTTTACAATTATTTTTTATGTTTGTCTAATAGTAGCAAAGACTACTATTATTTTTACAATGATTTTTAAAACTGATAAAGTTATTTCTATTTAGTGCCACTCTTGTAAATCAGGACTGACATCGGGGTTGGGGGAGACTGAGAAAGATGGAATAAATAATGTATACTGCATTGAAACAGATGAGGGAGAGAACTGTTTAAAAGGGGTATGTGATTAGGTAATATGCTCATGACATGAGTCCAGAACGAAGGCTGCATAGTGGAGTTGACTTGGGGGGCAGGGATTGTAAAACAATGGGGGAACTTTTCTTTTACTTATCAAAGGGGAGAGGGGTGGGCAGGGAGAAAAGTGCCACAATGAATGAATGGATAGTCTCTGTAAATTTTCATTAAAATTATTAATAATAAAAGAGAAGAAGGAAAAAAAAAATCCAAAATTACCCTACTCGTTCTGGTGATGTGCTGTGAAAGTCTTTTAACACTAAGACTTTTAAAAATTGGTGAGAAATAGATTTTAAAAATATTGTTTACTCTCATTTTTCTTTCAATGTGTCCAGAATATGCTTAAAATTAAAGTGTTTCTTTCCCTAAGAACAAAGCGCTGTCGGTGGCATCATGTTTTTATCAGGTTCAATTTTAAGCTCAATTACATGTTACACTCCAACAGGCATTTTCAAAGTGAATGTAAATAACTAATTTTCACAGCACTATATTGGTATAAAGGATTAGGTGCTTAGGGTTAGAGAAAACCCACCATCCCACCAACAAATGATTCAACTGTTAGTCTGTATACCGTCCTGTGTCATGTGAGGACTTGTTTTTTCTAACAGCAATATCCAATAAGAGGTGAGTCAATGCACTAGATCATTAGCCCTGCTAATTTACAGGGTCTTCCTTTGCTCGAATCAGTTCAAATAGTCTGACGGGATCATCATGAATGTTTTCTTCGATTGCCTCGTTTTCTGGTGGGACATTGTCTGTCCCACTGATGGTAGAAATAACGGCACCCATTGAATAGAGTGGTTCATCTTCATTCTGGTGTAACCTAGGAGTTTCCTTTTTCCTGGGCTTGCCATGCTTCCCCTTGTAGCTGTGGTCCAATGAGGCATAGCACATCTGTGCTTCCTCAGCTGCCTAAAAAGAAACACATGTTAATTTTCCATAGCTAGCCTGTGGTTCAGCTGTGATGATTCCTCAAGATTTCTATGCTCTGTATTTCTCCACCCCCCACCCTGACCCCACAAACTACAGTGATCTTAGTGGAAAGCAAAAATGCATAAATGAAACTTTTTTCTCCTGTGTTGTTATTGCTTAATTTTATTCAAATGTGCATGGGTATTTGAGATCATACTTTATTTACCTACTTCAACTCCAACTGCTACCTCGGGCAGCAATGACTGTGTGGACAAGATCTCATTTGTTAAACTGAGAACAAGAATGATAGGAAGGAATTTATCAAATTTTATCAAAACTTAGCCATTTTGAATGTATACACTTAAGAATGGGTCATTTCATGGTGTAAAAATCCTCAATTTTTTTTTCATGCTTTTAGAGCTTCAGATTTATAAGGATAACAGTGTCTATTGATAACTCTAACAGCAGAAAAATAATTTCATTTCACATATTTCCCTAGTATTTGCCTGCCTGCTTGCAGATTCCCTCTGAGCTTGGTAAAGGTTGAAGATGCTCATTTGCATCCAGAGTATCTGTGATTTTCTCTGTGTGATGCTGTCAAGTTGATTCCAACTGATAACAAGCCATGTAGTAGAGTAGAAGTTCTTCATAAGATGTTTGTGGCTTTAATCTTTAAAGAAGGATATTATCTGGTCTTGCTCCAGTGGAGTTGAAATGGATTTAAGTCACCAAATTTTTAGTTAGAAAGTAAGCACATAACCATTATTCTACCAGCCTTACTTTCTAGGTTAACATTAATTCAAGGACCAGAGACAAGGGAGCCCCAGGAATTCAACAGCCACAAAAGAAGCAAAAGCATGATGGACAATTTATGATTAAATCCCAGCTATGTCAAATACAGAGTAAGGGATTTTAAGCAGTGATTTATTTTTTTTTTAATTATTAGCTAACTTGGGAAGGGCTGGAGAGCATAATTCTAAGTGAGCTAAGTCAGTCCCACAGAACAAATATTGTATAAAACCATTGTATAATGATCCTGAGGTGGGGGGAGGGGAAGGATGGAAGCATAATTCTAAGTGAGCTAAGTCAGTCCCACAGAACAAATATTGTATAAAACCATTGTATAATGATCCTGAGGTGGGGGGAGGGGAAGGATGGAAGCAGAGGGATGAGGATGTGCAGCAGGAAGGGGGATTAATCATGGGGTTATACAATTTTCTGGGGGCGGTGAGGAAAATTTCAAGAATCTGTTCTGGAAAACAATGTATACAAATTTTGTACATAAACTAGTATAATACTTTTTAAAAAATCACAACAAACCCCACAAACCAAAACCAACTATTCTGAGACTCTATTTTAGTTTTGTTACCTATAAAATCAGAATGGTAATACCTATCTCACAAAGTTGTTAATAGTATTAAATAGAGATAATAAATAGCTATGTTGTTGTTATGTGCTGTCGAGTTGCTTGTGATTCATAGGGACCCTATGTACAAGAGCCCTAAACCCTAATCTATCCTGTGCCAACCTCACTGTCTCCAAAACACCTACTCTCATTACCCCCCATCACTGAATTGATCCATTTCATCGAGGACTTCCTGTCTTCCGCTGTCCCTCCGCTCTCCCAAACATGATGTCCCTCTCCAAGGACTGGTCCCTCCTTGCAACAAGCCCAAAATATGTCAGCCTGTCTAAAAGTAAAATGGTGTTATAATTATCAGAACCAATAGGCTGGAAAATGTAGGTCTTTCATTGAATAAATTTACGCTTACTCATCATTGAGTAAACCTAGCATTTCTACTTGAAAGATTTACAATTAATCTAGGTCAAAATTTATCAGCGGAGTGCAGGGCAGGAAAAGGTTGAAGAAGTAACACTGAATTAACAAAATATCTAAATGTGCTGCTAAGTTTTTCCTTCTTGGTACTCCTTTACTTTTTAAGGGTCAAGTATTTTATATTCTCTACTAGGAATAAAAAGTGATTCTACTTAAAACTTGTCTAGTATTTTGGTCCGAGTATAAGCTCCAGAAAATTACAATAGCTTTCTTCAGTGTTCTTGCCTCAAGGCCCTTAACTCTGCAGTTGTTGCTGTTGCTATGCAGATGACTACTGCTCAGAGACCTTATGAACAATGACTTTGAACCTTGTCCTATCCTGATCCAATCTATCTCAAACACACCTGACCCTTTTGTCATAGTCACTGTGTCAAGTTATTTCATCCCGGGTCTTTCTTTCCTGACTTAACTCTCTACCCTTCCAAGACTGATGTCCTGCTCCAAGTACTGACCACTCCTCATAACATGCCCAAAGCATGTGAGACAGAGTTTCAGAGTCCTTGCCTCCAATGACTTGGTTTTACAACATCCAGAACAGACCTGTTTGTTCCCTTGGAAGGCCATGGTGTGTTCGATATGCCACCAGGACCCCAACTCAAAGGCTTCAATTCTTCTTCTGTAATAATAAAGATTTATGTCCAATTGTCAGATGAATAACAAGCAACTCTGACGTCTATGGCTTAAATCAGGTGTACCTTAGTCTTTAGGTTGACTTCCTTGCTCTTTAGCATTCTGGAGAAGTTCTTAATAGCCGTTTTTCACAATGCAGATCATCTTTTGATTTCCTTATTACTAGTAGCAAGGGTATTGATTGTGGATCTGACTGAGCAAGATTGAATTTTAATGACTTCAATCTTTTCTCTACTCCCATCAGTAGGAAGCATTGGTAGCCTAGTGGCAGGAAACTGAATTGGAATCCTGAAGACACACAGTCTAAGTTCGCTAGCTGTTTCATGAGAGAATAACAGACAGTTTCTTCCCACATGATTTCAATTGCCCCTGGAATACTATACAGCACAGAGGAGCAATCATTTTGTAAATTACTACCTAACTTATGAGGGACTGGAGAGTATTATACTGAGTGAACTAACTCGATTCCACAAGAACAACTATTGTCTAAAACCATTATTGTAGAATGAGTATGAGGAAAAAAGGGGGGGGTGGAAATAGAGGGGTGAGGATAGGGAGGATAGTGTGTTAATCATAGGATTGCACAATTTGATGGATGAGTGGGGTGAAGGAAATGGGAAGGATTTTTTGTGAAAAACAATGTTTTCAAACTTTGTAAATAAATCAGTGTAATATATTAATAAAAAGAAGCAATATAATTCAAAATAAAAGACTTCAATAACAACAACAACAAACCCCAAAAAGATCCCTGCCTATGGGTCAGTTCTGACTCGATGGTACACAACAACTTCCAAAAGTTAGCCAGGTATCTATCCTCCAGATTTCTTAGCACAACCTGGTGAACACATCTAGGGCTACAACTGTTTGTTGAAATATATCAATTGGCATTCCATCAATTTCTGGGGCCTTGTTTTTTGCCGATTCTGTCAGAGGAGCTTGAAATATCTCCCTGTATTGACTTTTGGTCATACACTACATCCTGAAATGATTCTGTATCAGCTAATTCTACTTGATACAGCAATTTCCTATAATCCTGCCATCTTCTTTTGATATATTTCAGAACATTCAAGATTTTACCCATAGCATCTTTCAGTACTGCACCTTTTTTTTAATTCTTCAGTTCCTTCAACTTGAGAAATGCTAAATGAGTTCCACCCTTTTGGTTTTCTGATTTCATCTCTTTGTACATTTTGTTATAATACTTTGCTTTTTCTTCACAAACTGCCCTTTGAAATCTTATACTCAGCTCTTTAATGTCATATTATTTTCCCCTTTGTTTATGCTTCTCAGTATTCTAGTGAATCTCTTCTAACTTCCATTTTAGTTTTCATTCTCTGCCTTTGTAATGACTTTTTTGCACTCTTCATGGATGATATCATCCCAAAGCTCATTTGATCTTTGATCATTAGTGTTGAATGTTGCAAATAGGTTTGTGAGATGGTTTTAAAATTCAGGTGGGATAGATACAATGTCATATTTTTGTTCTTGTGTATGTATTTGGTTTACTTTAGCCTCTGAATTCCAGTCAGTATTTAGCCTGGTTTTCACAGCTGATATTGAACTTCTCCAATGATACTTTCCACAGATGTAATCAAATTTCTGTGTGGTCCTTAACGTGAGCTCCATGTGTATAATACTTGTTTGTGTTTTTAATAAAAAGTAATTGCAATGAATCATGCAAAATTCTGTCATTCTATCTCCAGCCTACTTTCTTTCTACACACCCATAGTTTCCAACTACTGGTCCCTTTTGCTTGTCCCCAACTTTTGTATTCTCATCATCAGTTGTTATTAATGAATTTTGCATGTTCAGTTGAGTTCAGATTGCAAAAGTTGGTAGGAATCTTCTATTCGCTCCTTCTCAGGTTTAGTTGTTAGTGTGTGTATTTGGCTGATAACAGGTTTTTCTTGTAAGTGCAAGGATAGTATTCTTTCACTCACAACATTGTACTTCAGGATGGATCTGTTATTAATCTTTTTGACTGAGAATGCAAACCTATTTTTCTTCAAGTTTCAGAGTGGCCAATGCCAGTATATTTCAACTTGCTGTTGTCTGGTATGTCAAACTTTATATGTTCCATTTCTTTTTTAACTATGTTCAGTTATCCTAAATTCATACTTTGTATATTTCACATTATAATTATTAATGGATATGTGGGACTATTCCTCCTCACTTTTGGTGTTTTCTGACATGAGGGCTCAGCTTCCAGTGCTATATCTAAATAGTGTGCTCTAAACCCTATGGAATGATCATATATACTGTGTAAATTAAGTAACTTTGTTTATATTTTCTCTAGTATGTCCCAAGGGGCTCCAGTAGTCTAATCTATAGGGAGCTGCACTACTACTAACCCAAAGGCCATCTCTCTTTTTCAGTTCCAGTATACCAGTGACTTTATAGGAGAAAGATGGATAATCCCCTCCTATGGGATTTATAGCCTCAAAAATCCAGTGGAGGATCAGGAATGTGTAAGGTGTTAATGAGCAACAATAAGTATTGTTGAATGTGTCTGAAAAAAATTTAGTCTGTAGGA